ACACACACACTTCACGAAACTTGACGCGGCGTCTGATTACAGATACTGTCGTTTCATTTTTATCTCTTTTCCCCACCAGAACTGTATTGTGACGATAAGAGAAGGTTCGAAAAAAAAACCGGAACTTGTCACACATTTCCGGTGCTGAAAAACAATCCTTTCATTATTCGGACGCGAAACATTCACGGTTGTTCCCGAGCTGTCACAGCCTGCGCAAACAGCCCACAGATAAGATAGTTATGCAGTACAACTAAATTGGAAACAATTCTGAAGATACTTTCGTACACGACAGTGAAGTCAATCCTAAAAAACTTCCAGGAATTTCGTCACACTGTACAGCAGTACTCCCGTGAGAATTTGAATTGAACTCTTTCATGGATCATACATAGTCATGGGATCACATCTGAGTGAATCGGTAAATACTCAAGCAGACACGGGCAAGGAATCGAACTTTTTCCGAAGAACGTTACTCACAGACAAAAAACTGATGATTAATGTATGTATAGATAGATTATACACATGGAGAGGATGAAAAGTAGCAAAAATAATAAACTCAAGCAGTAATCAAGTTTTGCTAAAAAAAAGCACCTCCCTCAAAAGCATCGTAGAAATTTTCTTAACGGATGTTGTCCAAAATGGACGAACATCATACAATTGAACATTTCTAGACCCAATTTGAAAAATGGATTCTAATCCTCTCAAAAGAGAAAAATGCCCGCAAAAAATAATCACTTTACATTGGAAATTGTACATATCCATCACTGCTTAAAAATGTCTACGCATCAACGAACACTTACATTCGTTTAACAAGAGGTGTCTGCTTTGAAGTCAACAACTGTATTGTCAAGAAAAATTTCACGCCAAGATGATGCTTGAAAAACAATTCGAAAATAACACATGCATGTCACTCATCTACAATTTCTGAAATTTTTTATCCCGAAGTTCAAAGCGAAGAACACCCCAAAAAAGCCATGCGAAGAAATCCCGCAGCCGGAACATCACTTCTGTGCCGTCAATTGCTACGAAACTGCGCTAACCCAAATGACTCAATGCAGGTAAGCGAGAGAAAGAAAAACGATCAGCAAATTAACATTTTCTCTTTCAAACAAATTTCGTAACTGAAATATTGTATAGCATTGTATTCCCGCTTTCCTAACATCGTCAAGTAAATTAAGCCAATCATTGCAACTTATGAGAGGAATTCTTGATTTACGCGAAGTTCAGAATAAAGCGACAAGAATTCGTACACACATTTCTCAACTATCTCAATCGAAGAATTTAAGCATTTTACACATGCCAGTTTTACTACAGTATTACACAATGCAATTAAAATTTTGAATTTTAACATCTGAACATTCAGGACTACTGCATATGCAAATCTTTGACGAATCAAGGACATTAAATGAAGGAGATTCGGATGAATTTTTGAGGGACCGAGATCTTGCAGAAAATATAAATACAGTAGCATGATCAAATCTGATGTTTAAAAAAAGAAGAGGGATGGTAGGAAATCGGGTGGGAGGAAAATTTTTCAAAGTGGAAGACTGGAAAGGATTCCGATAATCTCCTGGACTATTTAATATTCTGAAATGACCAAATTGCACCTGAAATTATTGCGTGAATAGTACCTTCGACCAACAATGACAACCAATTCGGAAAGAGATCCGTGAATCAATGCTTCAAATCCTTCGATCATTTATTGAATTTCCGAAATGTCTTCATCATCCGTTCAGAATTATTTCAATGGAATTTTAATGCACTGTATAGGATATATGATCACTCAAATATTACGGAAAAAAGGCGTGTGCCCCCCCCCCCCCCCCCCCCGGAATACGCTTGCAAAAAAATTCACGACTTCACGGGCAAGTGCGAACCGGAATAAAACACGAAACGGAATTCCCAGCGTTGAACAAAGCCCCGTTACTGTGTTCTTTCCAAATTCATTTCTGAACCCAAAGCCAGCTTGACGCCTTATCTCGCTTCCTATTTTCGAACCCGACATGAATCACAGACTGCCATTCATGAGAACTCGAGAGTTTCCGGAATGCAATACGTCCATATCGTACGTCAAAGCTACTGTGCTGGCTATGGACATCCTCGAAGGAGTGCGAAACGGTTCAAACAGTACTTGGGACTTCGAAAAGGATTGCGATTGTCCCCAGCCGTGTTACCGTGAATTGTACGAAATGCAATCCGACACAGGCGCCTATGATATCCCTGACAGGAGTCTTCTCCGGGTGAGGCGAATGCAAAAAAAGTTTTCTCAAAAGTCTCGATTGAATGAAGATCTTACCTCACTTGAACCTCTTGGTCACAATTTTCTCTACGCAATGCTTTCAAAAACAAATGATTATGCAATTTCAATGAATCAATCAACCTTCCCCTACCAAGAAATCGAGCATCTTCACGAAAAAGCGGATTTAGTTGGCAAAACACAAATAGTCGGGTACCTTATGCTAGAAAAAAAATTCGAAGAAGCACGAGATTGAAAACATATCCAAGAAAGACTAATGAGTCCCAATATGCTATACCAACAGGTTTATTTTCCAGACTTGAGCTTTGAAGAAATATCGGAGGAAATGAACTATGGCGTCATCCCTCTGCTCTGCGACTTCGGAGGATCTCTTGGCCTTCTTTTGGGAGCATCAGGTGAACATGAAATATTTCTAGAAATCATTTCGCCCCCAACGGTACGTGAATGAAATCAGATATTACATAACGAGGAACCCTGAAAAATATTAACATGCACAGGTTCGAATGCTCTTCGTGGAAAATAGTTCCGAAAATGAATTATACTACAGTATTATAGAAACAAAATTGATCAGAGTTCCACGGAAATCCCCAAAAACTTTAACGCGTGTCAGGAAATGAAAAAATTCCGCAATTCTGCAGTACTTACCGTGGTGGAAATTATCGAAGTGGCAATGGCGAAATTGACATCAGCCATTAAGACGTCGAAGAAGACTTCGGAGACTCCCGAGACCAACAACATTGTCGTCAAACACGTCCAGCAGATGGAAAAAATCCAATCACTAGCCACAAGGACTCCAATCGAAGACGGTTCGAATCCACATTTCGTTGCCTGAAAACCCGCCGTTTCGACACAGGACCGACAAGGAATCGATTGACATTTCTTTCTCACGCGCAACCACGAAAAAAAAATTCTGAAACAGAAACAGACCTCTTCAAGTAAAGTATCCATACTGCAGCAGTAAATCGCGGGTTTCCTGATCTGCGAATCATCGACAGACTTTTCATAGCAGGCGGATGAAAACTAGATGTCGATTTCCATTCGTCGTTCGTTTCCTAAATAACGAATTCATTCGATTAAAACTTTTACAAGCATATGAAGTTGAGNAAAAATTCCGCAATTCTGCAGTACTTACCGTGGTGGAAATTATCGAAGTGGCAATGGCGAAATTGACATCAGCCATTAAGACGTCGAAGAAGACTTCGGAGACTCCCGAGACCAACAACATTGTCGTCAAACACGTCCAGCAGATGGAAAAAATCCAATCACTAGCCACAAGGACTCCAATCGAAGACGGTTCGAATCCACATTTCGTTGCCTGAAAACCCGCCGTTTCGACACAGGACCGACAAGGAATCGATTGACATTTCTTTCTCACGCGCAACCACGAAAAAAAAATTCTGAAACAGAAACAGACCTCTTCAAGTAAAGTATCCATACTGCAGCAGTAAATCGCGGGTTTCCTGATCTGCGAATCATCGACAGACTTTTCATAGCAGGCGGATGAAAACTAGATGTCGATTTCCATTCGTCGTTCGTTTCCTAAATAACGAATTCATTCGATTAAAACTTTTACAAGCATATGAAGTTGAGAAGCAACCACATTTGATCCAAAGAACATCTAATACAGGCTTGTGAGGGCCAATTTGATGACAGTGACCTTATCAAAAGAAGTTTCTATCAAAGAAAAAATCAATGACAATCATTTAATCATTGAAATGTTTCAAGCCCCAAGGAAACAATGGCAAGATACAGGTCTCTGTAAATAATCCTTCCTTAACTTTTTTGACTTTTATGACAGACGGATTATCGAGCAACTCTTCAGAACATGAGCGCACGTTTTTTTCCTGCAAATAATCTCCATAACATGATCATCTTTTTTAGTCCGGTAGGAAAAAAAACTTTTCAAGTATCTGGGATAATCACGCATCATTCGACTGCAATGATTTGTAGGTGATTCGCAGAACGATTCAAAATGACGAGCGTTAACTTTGTCTACCTTCTGTTCTCATTGTAGCATTTGCAAGAAGACTTTGTAGCGGAGTGAAGTTTCGCCCGAGTGTGGTGGCTGGAACTATGTTTGGCGCTAGTGCTCTTTACGGTCAGTTCCATAATCAAGACCACAAGAGCTAAAAAAAAAATCTCCACCTAGGACGACACCATCGGACAGCGAACAAGCAAACACAAATTTTGAGTAGAAGAAATCGCTACTCATGAACATTTTTCGCGCATCACAGCAGCGACAAAATAAAAAAAATCTTCGCGGAGGTTTTCGAAAGAACAAAGACGTAAACAGGGCAAAATTAAAACTTAAAAAACAGGACCGAACAGAATCGTAAAAAATTAACCTCTAAAGCAGTCATAGTGGCTACCAAAGGGTGCAACTAAAGCTTCTAGTTAGTGTATAAAAGCTGAGGCGGTGCCGTATTTTTTTGTCGTGTATAGCTTTTTCTAAATGACTTGTTACTACTTCCTAGCGAAAAAAGTAAATACATCTGACCGTTAATGAATCCTATACGAGTTTTCTCCATCAGAATTTTAAATTATTCAACGAATAAACGGTTTACCCGAAAATCGACCATCACATATAAAATCATAGTATAAGTGTGAAACGAGTATTTGACAACAAAAACAAGATAATTCGAAGGAGTCTGAATAATCCCAACCGTTCTTCGAGCTCCAACGTGTCCACATCTGACGGAATTGACAATTCAATAAAGAAGTAGCTATCCCCTTAATTTCAAGCCTTCCAGAAGTTCATTCAAAAAACCATGCTCAGTTGAACGAAAAATCTCCGGGAAACTTGAATCACACTACATGAACATTTTCAAGTTGAATAAAAGAAACGCAAGAACTTATGCTAAAAATAACTCAAGAGGCACTCAAGACAAATCCAAAACCAGAAATCTTCAATGATTCAATTTACGAAGATGAACATGGATTCTTAAACTCAATATCTTGAATGAGCTGCAAAGTTTACTCACGACCATCTGCAACTTTGATTCACAACGATCTCGACGGAGTAGAGGTAGTTGAAAATTTTCTGGAATAAACAAAAATCCATGACAATCTAAAGCAAATTATTTTGAAGAATTACATTACTTACAGAAAACAGTAAATGAGACCCCGAAAGCCAACTGCATACGTTCACACGGCGAACGAAGGCAAGCGTAAAACGCGTACAATAAAGAAGGTCGCCATGAAAGGTTTTCACATAAACAAAACACAACGGTAACAATCAAGACGACCCCGACTTCAACGTGGAAATGAAGCTATCCAAGTTGTATTCGTCGTACTGACTTTCTTCCCATAAATCCGGCAATCCTTCTAACACGGACTTCACACCTGATTTTTTCATTTCGATCTTAGTTCCGCTTTGCTTTTCCGCTTCTCTGCTGTCTGAGAAGCTGAAAGCTTCCAACAGCTGGTCAGTACTCATCGTCGCTAAAGCGGAATTCTCCTGGTTCACCACAGAATTCGCCGTATTGAGCTTGAATTTTTGGAGTCCCATTATCTTCTCTTCCAACGTCCCTCGGGTGATCAAACGGTAAACGTTAACGACTTTCTTCTGCCCTATTCGGTGGGCTCTGTCCATAGCCTGAACGTCTTTCATCGGATTCCAATCATGTTCAACAAAAATCACCGTGTCTGCGCCGGTTAAATTGAGACCAAGACCGCCAACTTGAGTCGTGAGGAGCAAAACATCAATGGAGGCGTCGTTATTAAATCTTGTCACGAGATTGTGCCGCTGTGCAGGCGGAACACTGCCGTCCAACCGTCTGAAACATAACATGAGAACATCTTTTAGAGAAGAAATTATAAAATTAGCTTTTATAAAATCAACTTCACATTTCCGTCCTAATGAAATCATCAGAACGATAAAAAAAATCAGACGTGAAACAAGAA